ATCGCCAGCCCCCTGAGAGTCCCAAGCTTGAGGCAGGGGACAAAAAACCTGAAGCCAAGTAGCTCCATGGAAGGCATGTGGGCGTACTCAGAAGCACCTTACCTATAATTAAGTGTTCATGTAAATAAAGTCCTTCTTAGACTCAAAAAAAAAAAAACAAACCAGTTACCTGGGTGATGAGTCAGCTTGCAGTGCACTAGTACTGCTAAGTCTTTACAAGTGGCGAAAAGCCAAGATGTCACTCTGAAAGTTAAGGCCCAACCTGGCCCAAAGCACAATATTTCTGGTCGCCGCATGTGAAACCTGGACAATGACTGAGGAAGGCAAAAGAGGAAGCAGTGATGCCATTGAACGGTAGTATTGGCAAAGAGTACTGATTATCCCACAGACTGCCAGAGGAATGAACACATTTGTCCCAGTACAGGTACAGCTAGAGCGCTCCTTTAGAAGCAAGGATGGATAAGACTTGGCCTCGCATACTTTTGGTCTGTTAGCAGGAGGGAGTAGTCCTTGGAGAAGGACATCATGCTTGGTGAGTTAGAGGCTCAGGGGGAAAAAGAAGATTCTCAAGGAGTTGGACTGACACAGTGGCTCCGGCAGTGCACTCACACATAGCAACAATTGTGAGGTTGGTGCAGGACCAGGTGATTCAATTCAACAGGCACAGGACAGCACAAGAGAGGAGACTGGATGGTTGGAATTCAGAAATACTATTTATCTGTTATGCAGATGACACAAATCTGCTTGCTGAAACTGAGGAGGACCTCATGCACTTACTGCAGAGGGTCAAGGACTGTAGCCTTCAGTATGGTCTGAGGCTCAATGTTAAGAAGACAAAAATTCTCACCACTGGACCAATTGGTTGCATCAGGATGGATGGCGAAGAGACTGAGATTGTTCACAGCTTTAGTTTGCTTGGCTCCATGGTCAACACTCTTGGCACCAGCAGCAAGGAAATTAAAAAGCGTATTGCAATGGGAAAGTCTGCTGTTAGGGACCTCTAAAGTACTCAAGAGCAAAAGTGTCTCTCTGGAGACTAAGGTGAGCCTGATACAGGCCATGGTCTTTGCAATCACTTGTTATGCATCAGAGAGTTGGACAATGACTAGGGAGGA